CATTTTTTATTAGACTTATAATTAATTTTGTATGCAAAATTTTCTGAATAGTGCTTGTTATATATTTCTGCTTCTGTTCAGTATCCTAACTGATTTTTTTCCAGCTGAATGGCACTATTTATATTTTATTTGCATTTTTTTTTCTAATGGGAAATTTACTAGAAGACAATTTGGCATAGTAATAAACGTGTTTTTACGTCATTCACATATTTTAACACTTCAATTAAAGTCTACTCTTATAGGACATTACATAACATCAATATTTAATTACAGAACGATTCCTTTATATTTCTAGTTACTTTTCATTTTTAAAGGATGTTGATGATAGTCGTTTATAACTGTTTTAAGATAATTCAAATAGGACTATACGATTTTAATGTGTAGGTATTTAAATTATCTCAATTATCAAAATTAAATATATCGATATAATTAATACCAATGCGTATTTTATTTTGTATATAATTCAAGGGCAAATTCGAACAAATCTTTTTAGTGTAAATTAATTATATAGTAGGTTAAATTAGTTTGAAGGTTTAAATATAATTATTACTTCTTAAGAACTGTATTATGTAAATAATTCTTTTAAAAAACTCAATTCTATTGTTTAATTTTGAATTTATATCTATTTGTATTGTTTTAATTGCAATAAATGATATAATTAAATTCATGGAATAATATTTTATAAAAGTATTTTTTTTAATATTATCTTCTCTTTAAAAAAAAAAGTAGATTTGTCCTTGTGTGTAAACAAAATTTATAAACTTTATTTAAATATCATTTTATATTCATGACAAAAACAATTCATAAATCTTTAAGTTGATTTTATTTGCATCATAACATGACATTTTATTTTTAAAAAACTGTTTTAATTATATCATCAAAGTTTAAACATAAAGTTNTTAAAATTATAAGTTTTCACAAAGTTATAAACGTTTCAAATTTCTTTTAATGGTAATGTAAAGCTTACAGACATTGTTCTTTAGTGTATTACTAGTTGATTCCATTAATGTAGAAGCAACCGGTTGATACTAGCTGAAAATATAGAACTTTCTTATATAACAACTCATTTCTAACTAATTAAAGTCGTAAATTATAGTAATAATTATGCAAGTGGTTATTAAAAAAGCCAGGTTTAAAAGCCAAGCGGAGATATCTCAACACAGAAAATATAAGTCATAAAAACAGAGACATTCTTTTATTTCGTAATATTGATACTATTCACTTCTGTAATATCGAATATGATCAGTGATTATTCGAAGGTTATAAACATACGTAATTTTATATTCTTGATATAGGAATAGATATGAATTAAATAATATATCTTGTATTCATAGAATTGTTCGTGTTAAAAACGTAAGTTCATATATTTTTTGGCAAGTAATATTAATTTCTTCTATGTAATATTGTAATTATATATATATATATATATTGATACATGATCATAATTCCGATCTCGAGATTAACGAAGGACAGACATAAACACAGACAGTGAGAATGTATAGGTCTGCAATTTGAAAATTGCAACCCTATAATAATTCTGCTTAAAAATTCAATAGTTAAATACAGCCTCCTAAAATTAATGCAGGAAAACCTGCGTAAATAAGAATTGTAGGAATAGGTTTCCGTTTTATTCAAGTTCCGTTTCGGACAGGTTTTTACTCTATACAGTGCGATATTCTACCTGCTGATCCGCTAAATCCTGATATATAAGCTCTTCTCTTGTCATACTCAGCTACGTATTCACTCTAAAAATATACAATAATTTACATATTCGTTAAATTAATTTGTGGGTACGTAATATATATATACTGTAATAATTAAATTATACCTGGTGTTCATCATCTGTAGGTATAATATAAGCAGAATAATTATTTTCTTTCATTTTCTCTCTCAATTGTTGAAGTCTTTCGGTAGTATTTACTGCTATAAAAGACTGTTAAGCACACATAATACATATAGTAAACTCAATAATAATTGAATTTATAATACAAATTTGTTATGATTATTTTATATTTATTCACTAATCCAACATCAAAATAATTATAAAGTATATATAACTCAGCTTATTGCCAACAGGGAGGAGAGAGTTAAATACACCGCAAATATGTTATTTAGTATGATACGCATGCTACTTGATATACTCAGCATGCTCGTGTTCTCACGCATTTCATGAAACTAAACACTCATATGTGTATAATATCTTATGGAAATTAATTTTTTATATAAGTCATGTGTCTTGAACTAATCCACATTTCATGCATCTAAATACTAACAATCTGTGAACTGAGACTGTCATATGTTTCTTCAAAGGCCTACGGTGCGTAAACCTCATAATGCCCGAAATTCTAATTTTAGCAGGTTGACCCTCGATATAACGAACTAATAGAGTAGTCTGATAATCTATTGTAACTGACGATACTGTGGTTTGTGTAAGATGTGTGAGATAAGTGACACAAACAATACATATTGCGATAAATACCAGAGAAAGAAATCCAACTTGCACAGTTGCGCCGTCTGTAGGAAAATCTTTGTAATTAGTACAAAGATCTGTAGAAGGTTGCAGTTTGATAATTTCAAATGTTATTATATTATTACACCGAAAAATTATATACCACTTGACTCTCAATTAATTGAACCTCTGACGGAGCTTACGAACTAGGAGTTTTTTAAAATACGTTATACCCAGGTCTGTAAAATGGAGCGTCAACTGTATTTATAGGTATGAATAAATTAATATAAAAATATAATACATTATCTGTTATTTCAGCAATAAAAAAATCTTATATACTACTACTCAAAAATCAATATGGCACTCAATGAATGATGGTGCCATCTGGGGGCGAGAACAGAAATAAGATATTCAAAACTTATCGCATAAAATTTTACGAAGGCAAAATATATAATTTAATTTTATAATTTAAAATATTAATTTATTTCAAGTTTTATTTAATAATTTATAAAACTAAAAATTTTATGACGTTAATTATATTTTCCTTGTCTAAATAATAAAAATAATTACACTAAAACGCACGAAAACTACTTAGATTTCATATTTAATTAAGTTGAATTCAGTTTGTGCCTCTTAATTAAGTTATTTTACATTTTGAATTTGGCATCCTCCATCTTCGGTATGTCTTTTCTGCCGACTTACAGAGGGGAATTCATTAAATTCTAAAACAACGGCCAGACAGCAGAATTCCTCGAACGGGACTACAAGAAAAACGAAAAATTAAAAATTTATTTATCAGTTATGAAAGAATAAATCATTCAAAAAACATATAAATATAAACTCGATTCATGCAACAAGTTGGAAAAGATTTTTGTTTTCCATTTTCGACTTTTTCCACTTTACCAGCGCTTGATCCTTTTCCTGTGCCCATTTAAGTCTCGGTTGCTCCCCTTTAAGTGTCACTAAGCCTCACTAAGAGCCCTTTAGTGCCTTTAAATGCCATTAAACACCACCAAGAGTCATTTAGTGCCCTTTAAGTGCCACTAAGTCCCGCCCACCAGTGGTCAAGCGGTTTTCGTAGGAGTTCGGTCGTGGTTTCGCGCCTCGCTCGGGTGGGTTGGCCACGTGTTTTCCGGGTTTTCTCCACGTCTGTAACGCCTAAATAGAGGCCAGTTTTCCTTAAAAAATCTCCCGGAAGGCATCCCGTAGGCAAATCGCCCGAGTGTTGCGTTGCCATAACTAAACAAACAAACACTTAGCCCACTAATACATCTTTAGTACCCCTTTAGTGGAGCGACCATGCCCATTTAAAGAGCGCCACTAAAAGCCCTTTAGTGGTGCTCTTTGGATGCCATTAAAGAATTGGCCCCATGGAATTTTCCCGGATTCCTCAAGCGTGTAATGTGTATACAGGGGTGAATTTCCCATAGAAAGCGCCATCTTCTCGACAGATCCCGCATTTTGCGTCGCCTTATTCCATCAAACCGACCAGAAATTCTTGTAGGTGATTTGATCCGGATACACGAAAGCCCATTTCTCACCTTTCGTTGTGGGCTCTGACCAAACACGTGACGGCCGAGAAAGGACCTTCTCATTACTCGTAGGGTGGAAAGAACTATCTCACGAGAATTTTATTTAAAGCATCACTTAGATGTGGCAGCACTGCTACCACAGTTGCAAGAAATCGTCACGATTTTAAAATAATTATCTGTAATGGGTTTTTATTGGTTAGTTTTATTATCCGCTCTAAAATCACTTTATTTCTTGTTTTGTTGTTCATTTATGCGACGTAGAGGAAATATATTTTTTGGCACACGTGCATGATGGAGTGCAGAATAAATACAGTAGTTTCTGCCAGTAGCTAAAGTTATTATATGGCCTCATAACTGCTTGCGGGCTTCAGGTGTAAGTTTTATGTGGAACGAATTGAATATCGAAAATGCACTAGAAGTTGAAAAAAGAAATTTCTAGAATTTTCTCCCTGATTTTTTCTTGCTGAATACTTAAAATTTAAGCTGAAGACCGAAGCACTCCATGGTTAAACTTTATTACTTATTCATTATCCTTTAAAACTGATTAGATTAGCGAGCGCAGAGCACTTATTTAATTTTAAAAAAATATTAAAAATGAAAATAAAAGAAAACTTCAAATCTTTTAAAGCTTAAATTTTAATAATTTAAACGTTAAAAATATTTTAATTAAAATTATTTTATTAATTTATAAGTCGTGGTTTGAATTTTAAGTGCCTTTTTTTAATTACAAAATGATTTAATTTTCGTTATGAAATTAATTTTTTTTAATTAGAAAAACTAGTAAATTAACTCATTTATTTAAAATATTTTCTATTAATAATTTATTTTATGCATTAACTATTGTTAATTTTTTTTATTTCTATAATTAGAATCAATGATTTATCAATGCGCATCTCTAGATTTTGGTGGCAATTATTGAATCCATTTTGGTTTTTTTCCCTGGTTTTTAATTAAAATTTTACTTTTTTTACTTACAAAATAATAAATTTTACTAAAAAATTGTGTAAATTACATTTTTTTATAATTAAAATTAATGTAAAATTAAGAGTAAAAATGCCCCCGTACACGAGATTTAAAATATACCTTTTTCTCCACTTCCTCCCTTCGTACTGAATTTTAAAAATAAAATGAAAATATGTTTTCCCCCCCCCCCTTTTTCAAGGGCCTACTATTTTGTGGATGTTGCAGGTTGTCCTTTAATCCAGGTCTTATCCGCGTAAACGTCCGGATTTACAGGGTAAATTATTAAATTAAAACTCTTTTATTTTAGTCTTATAATTAAAATTTTATTATTTTTATTTAAAAATTTAATAAATTCACTAATAAATTCTCAAACAATACCTGCAAAATATACATTTTTTATAATTAAAATGAATGATTCAGCTTTGTAGACCGAAATGCTGAAGTGAATTAATACATTAAGGCTGTAATCCTTTATATTTTACTTAAAAATATAAATAAATTTACTAAAAAATTCTCAAAGTATACCTTCGATAATGGCTACCTCTGAACAACGGCCATTTTTTTTTATAGGAAGTTTCTTTCTTAAATGCATACAAAATAACCTTTGAACAACGGCCATTTTTTTAATTTTCCCATTAGTGGTCGTTGTTCAGAAGTTCGACTTTATTTATAATTAGAACCCACACTTCTTCAATACAAATCTCCGGATTTAGGTGCAAATTAACAAAACAAAATTATACTTTTATTAAATTTTACTTTATTTTATTTAAAAATAAATAATTTTTTTTAAATGTATATATTTATATATAAAATCCATTCTTATAATTAAAATAATTTATCAATCTGACAATACAAAGTTGAGAGAAAGAGAGAGAGAGAGGAGTAGAGGATGACTTAAATTTAATTAATTTAAAATTAATTAAATTTGTAGTCAACTTTCTAAATTTAAAAATTTTCATTTAAAAAATTAATTCTTTTTTTTCCCCAAAAAATATATTTTCTAAAATCAAATTTAGACATGGAATTTTTCATAATTAATGTTCCTTATAAAAAAAAGGAGTGAAAATTATTATTTTTTGGCTGATGTTTGAGTTTCCACCTTTTCTTTTTTACTCTAGATACTTTATAGGAACGTCAGAGCATTTAAGTCACGGGATTATAATTTAGTAAATAATTCCGAGTGGTCCGTATGTGTGTCTGTTCGTCGATACATAAAAAAATTTAATTTATGAACTTACAAAATGATCCGATATGAAGTAATATTTGGAGAGAAACAACTTTAACAGGGCTAATTTGAATTTTAAATTTTTCTGAAAGGAAATTTTAAAATTCAAATCGTTGAATTTTCAATAAGATTAAGCGACTGAAGTTATGACTTCAATTTCTTACTTTTTTTTTCTTTATTTTATAAGAAGTTTTTTCAAGAATTTGTATAGAAATGAATGGGCATTTCAGAAATAATTTCTATGTGATTTAACTACTGTACTTGCAATTATTTTCCTGAATTGTTATTATTTTATTCATTTTTTTCTATTTTAAATTATTATTATTATTATTATTTAAGATTTTAAGCAGTTTGTTATTATAAAAAAAAATTGTAATTGTAATTGTTTTCAATCTTGCAAAAATTTTTACTTAATTCTGAGTTTTATCACGAAATAGTGTAAAAATACAGTAAAACCTGTTTAAAACGAAACCTGAGTACAACGGAAACCTGCCTAAACGGAAAAAGTCTTGGTTTTATATGTTAATTAATAAAAAAACCTGTGAGAAACGGAAACCCGCCAAGCCGGAAAAAAATATTCAGTGCCGTGAGGTTTTCCGTTTTACTCAGGTTTTACTGTATAAATAAATTATGTAAATAATTATATAATTTTAATAATTTCAATTTATTTATACATTAAAACCTGTGTGAAACGGAATCACGCGACATTGAATATTTTATCCGGCTGCATATTTCCGTTTTGCGCAGGTTTTTTCTTTGTTAACATAGAAAATCACTTTGATCTAAAGATCTTTTTCCGTTTAGGCAGGTTTCCGTTGTACTCGGGTTCCGTTTTGAACAGGTTTTACTGCATTTTTAGACTGTCTTTAAATTAAACCTGTTAACAACGGCCACTGACGGGAATGTCAAAATTTGGCCGTTGTTCAGAGGTTACTTTGTGTGCAAAAAAGAAACTTCCTATAAAAAATGGCTGCCATTTACAGTTGGTCGTTAAATGGAGTTTCGACTGTACTATTATTAAATAATTTTTTAATACAAAGATGTTAAATGTTTAAAATATATATAAATATTAACTTTTTAATTATAATTTAGTTGTAATTTTCTTGCAAGAAATCTTAAAGTAAGAAAATTTATAAGGACTTTATTACGAAAATTTAAACTAATTACAATTAAAAATTTAATATTTATAAATAATTTCAATGAGATTTTACATATCAGATTTTGTATAAATATTTGTTTAATTAAAATTATTTAAATATATTTACATAATTAATTGATTTTTAATAAATATAAATATTACATTTACCTAATTTTAATTGTGAGTGGATTTAAATCATAAAAAATTGAAATTGTTTTGATTAATTAAATAAATGTTTATACAAAATTTAAATGTATTAAATTTTATTGTAAATATTTATAAATATAAATATTAAAATTTATTGTTGTTATTAGTTTAAATATTTTAAAAGAGATCGTTAAATTATCTTAATTAGAATTTAAGAATATGAGTTATCTTAATTAGAATTTAAGAATATGAGTTATCTTAATTAGAATTAAAGTTATAGAATCTGANATAAAAAAAGATTTTCAGCATATATAGAATACAAGTCTTTATGCTTGTCATTTTTTATTAGATTCAAAATGAAATTTCAAAAAGAAAATATGGTAGAGGAAATCTCAATAAGAATTAAATTCTGAAGCTTCTACTTCTGGAGGTGATCAAGATGGAGGTGAATTTCTAAGTTTTTCTGATTTATTTGATGAATTAGCTTCTAGTAAACAAAATAATGAATAATAGCATGTTTTTAAAAAGAAAGAAAAACGAGACTAACAAACGTTTCGATCAAGAATTAGAAACATATTTACATTTATCCCTTAAACAAAGACATAGTACATATTTTTGTGGTGGAAAAGTTCAAAAGAACTTTTTCCTAATTTGAGTAAAATAGCTATGAAATATTTAAGTGCCTCAGCATCTTCCATTAAAAGTGAAAAAATTTTCAACACTGGAGGTAACATTTATGAGCCGACAAAAAATAGGTTATGCCCTGAAATTGATG